ATGGCTGTTTGACATGACTACTGGCTGGAAAACCCTTCTTCTAACCTTGGCTAGGCGTCAGGCGGGGCTGATTTACAAACCGTACTTTGACAACACAGGGTGGAGAAGCTGGAATAACAAGAGGAGGCTGTAGGCAGCAGAGGGTCATGGAGGGGGGTGTAGCTGGGACACCATGTCCTGTCCCACTGTCACCAGGCTGTGTCTGAAAATCTTTAAACTTGTGTAGAATGATAGTCCACTGCCACTAAAATACCTCAGTGTTAACATCAGTCCCTCTGAAGCGTCACTGATGACGTCTCTCTGTCTCACCTGTTCACTCACACATGCCGCACACAGTGATCTCTTTATCTGACTCACAGTCTGGGGCCCTGTCACAAACCTGTTAGCACACTGACTTCTAAATTCACTTGAACTCCACCAGATGAGCAGGTGTGTAATTGAAATGGCCAGAGAAGTGAGCGAGTAACACGATTCATATTAAGTGTGAAAAACAGTGGTGCACCTGTCAAGGATCTTTGGCATTACCTCAAGAATACTACATGTGAATCAAAGGTGTGTTAGTATTACTTGTACACAAATTTTTTTTTTGGCAGTTCACTGATATGTTCGGCTGAACGTTGTGGCTTTTGTGGATCAAAGACCTTGTCATAACTAAAAAGTGTTGAAAATCACGAACCTCTGTGACACAGGAACTGGAAAAACAGATGTGACTGAAATCCATGAATTAGTGGTGCAGACGTTAGTATGGTCTCCATCCAATTGACTCAAGTCATATTATTCATCCAGCACTTTACAACATCTGGTTGACCAAAGTGCTTCACACAATAAAAAGAAAGAGCAAATTAAAGCCATTAAAACATGAAGTAAACAATAAACTAGAATAACAGCCAACACCAATAAATATCAGACTGCATTAAGAATCAAATGTAAGTTAGTAAATAAAAAGGTCTTAAGGAAAGATTTAAACACAGCCTATTCTGTAGCAGATCTAATATTAAAGGGTAAATCATTCCAGAGCTTTGGGGTCACGGTGGCACAAGCCCTAACGCCCCATGGTTTGTGACGGGAGCTTGGGACCTCTGGAAAATACAAAGATGAAGATCTAAGAGGTCTAACCGGGACGTACCACTGAATGAGCTGGCTGAAGAACTGGAGTACCAAACCATTGACATTAAAGACAAAAATTAGTAACTTAAATTCAGTTCTGCAGAGAACCGGGAGCCAATGAAGGGAAGCCAGTACAGATGAGATATGCTCGTATTTATGTGAGTTTGTCAGTAAATGAGCAGCAGCATTTTGAACCAACTGGAGACTTGAAAGAAGTGATTTACTGACTTCAGTATACAGTGAGCTACAGCAGTCAAACCTAGAACTAACAAAAGCATGGATTGCAATTTCAAAATCTTAACGATGAAATAAAAGGCCTCACTTTACTCAACAATCGCAATGGGAAAAAACAACTTCACAACAGCACTGATCTGCTTATAAAACCTTAATTCACTGTCAAGATTTCTTACCGCAGGTTTAACGTATGATGATAGAGGTCCAAGGACAATGACCTAGGCAGCCACTGGAGAGGGGTGTCCCAGCGCTATACACTCCACTTTGCCCTCATTGAGGTGTAGGAAGTTTAGTGGCAGCCCAGCTCTAATGTCATCGAGACAGTCCAGCAATAGCTGGAGGGTAAACCCCTTCTCAGGCTTTAAGGGAACATAGATCTGGATATCATCTGCATAACAGTAAAAAAGAAAAAACAATATTTCTTTAGATTCGACCCCATCCCAACCCAACAAGTTTAACTCATGCAAAAAATCTCTAACTGCGTAACCAGATAGATCTTATGCTAGATTACTTTCCTTTGGACATGTTCTTTCTTAACAGGTATAATTTACTTTATGCCTTGTAATGTAAAATGTATTTTTTTTAGGATATATATAAATTCTAGTCCACTTCATACAAAGACTTTAATGATTTCAATCTATAATTTCTTGGTTTTTCATAGACTGTTGTAATTTGATATCAGGATCTTGTAACACTTCATTGTATGATTCGTACACCCATAAAAGACTGATTGGTTCCTACGGGTACATAAACATGGGTAATAACAATCTGTTGCCTCAAAAACTCAAAGGGTACTATAAAACTGTTAAAGTGGCTTTGGGGATAATCTCACAAAACTCAAAGAAGCACATATAAAATTGTGTTTACATTCCCAATATGACAACAGGTGTAGTCACCAGTGCCGGGAACAGTGACACAGTTCGGGGTCAACACAGAAAAGGGAGGAGTAGAATTCAGTACTTTCAAAAATACCATTTTAATTTAATTTATTTCTCCAGTCTAGTCTTTATTCCCCTTTTCCCAATAGTAGAGTGTGGGTACCCAAAAGTACCCTGAGGTTTTGGGTAAGGCTCGGACAGAAATTTAGAAATTATGTTCGGGTCCGGGTCGGGTTCAAACATGTAGGTCAAAGTTTTGGCAAGATGGCTGAAGTGCTCAAATGTCTGCTTTGTGTAATGACAGGGGAAAAACACTGTACAAACTCAATTGTGTCAAGGTCGGGTTCAGACTGAAATATGAGGCCCGATCCACGTTCTACCCCATAGCCTTGTTTTTTTCCACGGACCCTAAATAATCTGCAGTGCTGCTGCTGTTCTCAAGAAAATACCTCCCACTCTAATATTCATGTCCTCATGTACAGTGCCAGATTTGTCATAATTTACTCCAACTAATGCCTGGTACTATTTTTAGTTGTAATACAATAAAGCCATCCATGCGATGCAGCTTCACTGGTGAGATATTAATAATCAGCAGTGTGGGCTATTTAGATGTCCAGAGCGATCCCTTCTCATCCTGTTAACCTTTCACTGTTGCTATTTTGTTCTTCCCCAACATTAATGTGTTCACTCTCCCATATCATCTGTATTACAGAGCATATTGTCGCTGTTTGGCCAAAATGTGAATCCCACCGCCGCCTTTATGTTACTCTAATTAGGATTTTTCACAGTGTACAAGTTTTGACCCCTGATCTAAATGCCAAATTACCCCTGGGCCAACTTGTCCCTTCACTCTGGACTACTTACCTATGATGCATTAGAAAGGGGCCATGCCACAGCAACTTGCAGAGATTCTTCTTTTTAAATAAAGCCCTGGAAGCTTGGCCGTGTCCTGAGATTTACTCTGATCATCTCTGAAACTGCCTGCAAAAAGAGTATGTTCTTCTCAACGGAAATTCTGGGCTTCGTCAGAGGTCCACTTTGCTAATCACCACCCCATCGAGACCGTTTACAGAAGTTAGAAAACAATTTATTTTAATCAGTGAGAAGAGTCTTCGGTCGCAAATACATTTCTCCTGTTTAAGCTTCAAGGGATCATTTATGCTTATTAAATATCCCAATTTGTATACAGACAAATGTGCTAACCTTTCATGCTTTGTGAAAATAACTGCCCGATTTAGACTGTACTTTGTTTCAATGCATATTCAGTTCATTTCTTCTGATCTATCAATTGATCATAACATATGTAGCTCTTTAAAATAGACACTTCGGGAAATGAGCTAATTTGCTTTCTAGTGCAGAGTTAAATGAGAAGACTTATACAACTCATGTGTGCAACAAACATGGGGTCAGAGCCAGCAGCTGCTTGGCTTAGCTTAGCTCAAAGAATGGACACGGGAAACATCCAGGCTGTTTGAGACCGGGAAGTGTCTAGAGTCTCTGCTGCTGGCCTGGCAAGTGTTCACAGCCAAGAAATACTCACAACACTTGTAAAACAGCAAAGAGTTTTTTCCAAAGGGTTGACTGCTGTACAGGGCCAGGAACACTACTCCCCTGTTTTTAGTGTTTGTGCTAAACTCAGCTAAGTTAAAATAAGAAACTAATCTAAGATAAGCAGTATTATCATCTAACACTGCCAGAAAGTGAATTTAAAAAATTCCAAAAATGTCCTTTAACAGTATGACAAGGCATTTATTTCACCCTATGAAATAAATGGTTTACACCATTAAATAATCTGTGTTCTTTTGGAGCGGTGTAAACTGCATCAGACGTGAATCTCTGTATGTCCTTACACATAAGTATGTCACAGCTGCTGAGTCAGGAGGTCAGACAGCACTAGATTACATGTGTCACATTTATATAGATCCATCACTGTCCTTTGTTCCCTGCAATGTGAACTAGAGGTGTTGTGCTCTTAGAGAGCGGGTGCATAATAGGAATCATGGGGGTTTTTTAAGCACAAAAACGTGGATTGAAAAAGACACAGTAAAAGTGAAGCCCACAGGCTACAGCATGCTGTGACCTATAGTAATGTTTTATTGTGAAGCTGTATCTTGTGGTCATGTCAAAGACTAGTCCAGTCAGCAGCTGACTCACTACTCGGTGGGACTTAACGGCAAGTAAAAAACAAACAAACAAAAAAAACCATGTTACATGTCTGTTAATGCCTTGTTTCGGTATTGTTAACGAGAATTGTTATAAGGCTAGAGAAATTACAATGTCTGCATTATGCCAGTTAAAACATGGGGTTTCTCAGTTACCCGCTTTGTTTAGAGTGTTACACAACTCTTTTCATCGGTACATATACCGTTGTTTATCTATGGACGAGACATTCAGATTAATTAATGCCGTCGCAGTTCCTTGTGCTGTCGACTTGCGACAAGACCGGCAGCAGGACTTGTGCGCATTTACGAACTATCGTCTCGTTTTTAAGGAGGATCTCTGGTTTTATCATTCTGAAATAATTACAGCCTATTTGGAGTTATGAGGGGTGCCAAGATAATCTAGACCCAAGATTAAACATTAAATGGCTGGAAATGAGCAAAATGAACAGCTATGGGGACTTTAACACTTGTGACCATCAATCAAATCTGTTTACATCAAACTCCCTATATCAGGATAAAGCCCATGACAGGAATCATCTTGTTTTCAAGGCGGCTGGATAAACATGCTATAGTACTTCTTATTAGCAGCCTGCATGTAATCAATCGCAGGGTGTTAGAGAAGCATCTGAGTAATGGAACTGATTGTCATATTTACCTTTGGTAAGTTAAATGTCAGATTTCATGAGAGCTGCCCCAGTTTACACTTTATTTAGACTTTGTTTGCCATTTAACTTTATCTTCCTAGTGATAAACTTGGAAACTATTTAAAATTGACGAGCAACACTTCACGACACTCTTCGTTTCTGTCTGGGACGAGCACATGCGCAGCCTTGCTTTGAGCTCCTTTGGATCAGGAAGCAGCTTGTATGTGTTGTGCATTAAAGTCTGTTTTTAACATCATCTTAAATCAGTGGCAGTGCCGGTGAAGAGGGGCCGACAGGCAGGCAGCAAAGAGGGAGGCAATGACAGACAGCTGGAAAGAAAGCCTCATAACCAGACATTCACAGCCAAACAATATCACAAGCACACACACAGAGTGACAGACAGCGAAATCAGAGAGAGTCACAGGCTGCGAGCGCAAAAACACACAGCAGCAGAAACCCAATCAAACAGAGAGGAAGCCTCCAAATCAGACAGCCAACCACTCAGCCAGCCAGCAAGCCTCTCTATTTCTGACCACACACACACGCACACACAGCTGTCTCATCTCATTCACCACAGAGGAATCTCCCACTTGAGATACTAGGCAAAAAGAGAATTGAAAGTCGGTATTGGAAAAAATCCAGTGGTGCCGTCACTTTCCTACCCAGCAATGGCTGGTGTAAATGAACAGCTGACAGGCAGTCCAACACGGGCCAATACAGCAAACTGACAGCTGGGAAATTGTCTCTGTAATATAACAGCCTCATGCCTCTTATAGTTTAGAGCCTGCCTTTTCAAACCGACTTTATATCTGCTTCCATGTGCATGGGAGGAAAGGCTGGCTGCAGAGCAGCTACTCCAGGCTTGTCCTCTTTGTTGCCATTATTGTAGGTGCCACAACAGTTGGTTCACATACAACACAGTGATATTTACATGTCTCAAAGGAGCTTTTGTGGCAGGATGCACATACAGACTGGTTGAAAACGGAGGACAGAATGATGCCGGCTCTATTCTGGATCCTGACAAACACGCCAAGTGGTGGAGGAATCAAAAATTCAACATGATCGAAACAGCAATCAGGCTGCAAATGACAAGTGTCTGATGAAGCCACATACAGCCAGGAATACACACACACACACACACACACACACACACACTCACAGACACCCTCCAGCAAACATGTAAAATAGAGAGTGCATATAAGTATGAATATATAATATACACATTCAAAGGACAAATAACACTTCTATATGCCTCCATAAAGAGGAAGCAAACTAGCAGAGGTTTAAATGAATAATCAGAGATTTCAGAAATCAGAGCAAGATGCACCATAACTGTTAAAACACACTGAACGCACTTTTGGAAGCGTTTTCTATACGTGTCTCATGCTGCAGATAGAACTCCTTTATATCAAATGAGTCAAATCAATGAAATCCTTTTTCAATCCTTTCCTTTTTGGGGCCCCTGATGGAGGTAAAAAGGACAGTTCAACACATGAGCAGGTTGTTTTTACACAAGCAGATTCAAGTGTCATCATATATGTGATGGCTGTAGAACTCGGGAGAATGAAGGTGACTGGAGATTCAGAGAAAGCACAGAGCGACCGAGTGAAGAAGAGAAACGAGAGGAGAGAAAAGGACTCGAGAGACCTGAAAGACAGAGCAGACAGAGAGTTTCAGGGCCAGACAGACACAGAGCAACTGAAAACACACACAAACTAAATATGTATAAGAACCACACACAAACACATCTGAAACGAATTCCCTGCTGTGAACCACAAAGGCTCAACTATCTCTACTCTCCCATCTTAGGGATAAATGCAGCGTAATGGTGTCGTTCTTCCATTTGTCATTCTACTGCAGACAACCAGGGGCCGACCATCTTATAGTCACACGGGCTGGCAGTGGGTGACGGTCGGACTGTGCTGCTGTTGTACTCTCCCATAATCTGCAACAAGTAAGGAAGCTGTTGGTCTCTAAACACCACACTAGGCCCAGATCTAGGGGGTGCTCAGTGGAAGACCCATCACAAAACAAGGTGGAGCTCCAGGAACTTGTATCAGGGCTCTGGTTTTTCCCTATTGTTCATTAGGTGATGCAGACTAAATATCTGACAGAACAACGATGGCTGTGAATGTATTTAGCCAGTTCCATATCAAATCGAGCCCGGTCAGCTCAGATACAGCAGCAAACTGATCTGATGATGCCTTGTATGAGAAACATACCCAGATACATGTTCAGACCAAGTATGTGAATAACAGTATGGAGACTGACACATGGCAGCATGCTCTCACTTTCCTTGTCGTATAGAGGGACGTCATTAAACCAACAGCTGTTTGGACCCTGAGGAGAAGCTGAACTGTCTTGTCACTGCCGCCCGCTCCACTCACCAGGTGCAGTTCATCTCAAACAAGCCTAATTTATGGATTAACATCACAGCAGAGCATGTCCTGGTAAAGGCAGAGGATGAGAAACAATCTCACAGCTATGGAAAACTGGGCAAGTAGAGGCCAGTGTAGAAAGTACACAGCTGTACTATGCTACCAGACAGTGTGGGGGGGGAGGAAAATGCCTGTCTGGTTTTTTGAGAGCAACTGGACTAATTACCAAGTTTGGAAGAAACAGACACGTGTGTGATATAAGGGATACAGCTGCTGTAAAATCTCGGAGAAGAACGTCTGGTGTTGTGTGCGTGGGCTGGGGGGGTAGCCCCCCTCTCCAGCAGGGTTCCTTTGTAGGATATTTAGTCTGCATCACCTCTGTACAGATGTCACTGGAAGAACCTTCACGTCCCGCTCACCGACGGCTTTTGTGTCACTTAATACTTCAGGAATTAAATCAGTTGATGTTGCAGAACAGGACTCTCACATACTGTCTGCAGCCTGTGGGACCTACATGTCATGTCCTGTACTGACTGTGTTCATCACCATCAAACACATTTACAACATTTAGATCTACTTAAATCGTTCCTAGTCAAAGCCAAATGCTGAAGGTGCCAAATAAAAAAATCACCTGACTGATGAGGGGGTGAGTGAGGCTCCCACCCCTCTGAGCACACCAAACAACACCGTATTGTGCTGCTCGTCAAAGCTGATTCACGTTTCAAATATAATTTGTGTTTCACAGATAGATAATTACGACATGAAGAGGACAAAGTGGTCTTTTGCTGTAAAGTGGA